ATGCCATGTTCTTGAATTTTATAATTCTCATAAACCTCCAAAATCGGTCTAAGCAGTATTCGCTCAGTGTGGAGGGATAGAAGAGAAGCCAGGAGGTCGGGAATCCTTTGGCCTCATTCTGGGGGCCAAAAATATTCTGAATATTTTGGATTTTCATTTTTCCTCCTGGACCAAGCAAACCACTTGCTTTGCCTCCCTGAAATGCCCCTCAGGATCAGAGCTCCATCCCCTTTCTTGAAGGCTCTCTTTGTGCCCCCTCCTCAGCTCATATCAGCTGCTTGGGAGAGAGCTGGGACGCTTGGGGGCCAGGCCACAAAAGCCAGAAATGATTTCTTCCAGAGGGAACCCACAAGGGCCTCAGACTGAGTATGATGGGACAGATATACTTGAGACCTATTTTATTTTTTAACCTTCAGCCAGAGAAGTGAATTGAGAAGCCAAACAAACGCCGATGTGGGAGTTGATGCTTGCTGATGGTAGCAGCATTAAGTGGAGTGGTAGTAATGAAAGGTCAGGCAGAAATCTGGAAAGAGAGAGAGAGGAGAGAAAATATGATGTGAGTTAGCAGAGCCCCTCCATGTACCTTTCTTCTCTGTTTAATGACACATAAAACAAAAGCAGCTTGGGCAGCCTCTAAACCTCTTAACTCGAAAGAGGAGTCACCAGCCCAGGCCTCCGAGGTGTTTGAGGCAGTTCTCAGGCACTTGACATGCCCCATCTGGCCTCTTCCTTCGCCCCCCCTCCCTGTGGACCCCCAATTTTATTCAGCTGGCCAGCTGGGGCCATGTCCCTTTATAATATCAGCACCCCCTGATGGAATCCATTTCCGGGTTGGGTGTGTCAAATTTCACTTTTCTCCAAGTGTCTCCCTGCCTGAACTTTGAAAGGAGAAGGAGCATATTTGGGAATGCAATGTGTATATGGGGAGGTATGTACTCAGACAACTTCTCCCACATATCTGTGAGAAACTGGGGGCTCCTAGAGTGAGCTATTCTTTGATGTCTCCAAGCAGACCCAGTTCCCTGCGTTCAGGTTCTTTGGTGGTGGACTGAGAGATTCTGCAATCCTTTTATTCTGGATTCTGTGGAGATCAAAGGAGTTCATGCACAAAACACTGGGCATTTGGAGTAGGATTTAAAAAAATTTTTTTAAATACAAAAGCTAATCATAGACCAGTCGGGGCCAAGTGAATAGTCAGTCGCTTTAGAACAGCAAAGTCTTAACCAAACAGTGCGATTGTGAAGTGAGCTGAACAAGTCCTGAAACTCAGCTTTCTCTGCAAGAGGGATTTCAGCCCTTGCCCAGTGGCACAAAAGGGGCCGGTGGGGCAACAGCTCCTTCCAGCTCTGGAAATTAAGAATTGGCGGGTGGGTCAGGCAGCTGCGATGGCTTCCAGGCAGCTAAACACCAGCCCAGCCGAGGCCGTGGCTGAGCGCTGAGTACTGCGGCTCCAGTGTTGGGTCCCTGAGCAGCCTTCGGAGGCGCCGAGCTGTAGCTGGTGGCGCAGGCAGCCAGGAAAGGAGTGTGTGTATCTGTATGCGAGACTGGGTGGGTCACAGACATCCACACGCAGACTTGGGGGATCTAGGGAGAGAGAAAAAACTGGCAGAACACAAACTAGCAGGACCTCTGGAAAAGATTGCTCCCAAGTAAAAATTCCAGATCTCATCCCTCTCACTTCAGATACCCTCCCCTAAGAAATTAATATATTTCCCAGAGCAGAATGGAAAGCAAAGACAAGCAAGGTGAGGCCTGACTACGAATCCCTTCTCGGCCAGAGCCCAGTTCCACCCACCCTCTTCCCCCTTCAGAGGCACACAGGCCCCCAGGCCCTGGCCTGGAGCAGGGTGAGGCTCCGGGTACGAGTGCTTGACTAGCCTTGGGAAACCCTCAAGTGCCCAGCTTCCAATTAGACCCTTAGCCTTGGGGACTCCTGACCAGTGACTGCCCCCCACTCAGGCTCATGGCATGCCTGCAGTAAGTTTCTCTCCTATAATTAGTGCTTGTGAAAAGCATGTGTTTTGGATTGGGGAGGGGGCTGGAGCAGCAAGCGGCAACTTTCCCCCTTTATTCCTGTTCTGTGTTGTTTGAATTCTGTTTTTGAATCCACTAATTACAGCTCCCAAAGCAAAAATCTGCTCTTGTTGCCAAACCCCCTCGGAATGCCTGATTTCCGAGGCCGAAAGGGCAGAGCAACTCGGAGACCTGCGGGCCTGAGGGGGGGTGTTCTCTGATTCTCCAGGCTTGTTTTATAGAAACAAAGAACAAGTTATCCCTCCCCTTCCTAGGACTTGTGCATATTTACAGAGCTCAACTGCAGTTTTAATAAAACATCTGTTCTTGCTTCTGTTGATGAGTTTCCATAATTGTTTTCAGACAAATTTAACAGGAAAATAGAAATATATTTAGAAAAACCCAAGTCCCAGCTTTCTCCCCATAGACAGTCGTTCTTTTGCCAAAAAAAAGAGAAAGAAATTAACATAAAATGAGAAGAGGAAAATGTAATCCAATGGAGGGAAGATCGGGCTCATCTGACCTGCTCTCCCCCCTTGGAGCGAATCCTTCCAGCAAATTTCAGCTGCATAATTAAAGATCTAACTGAAAGAAGGAAGCTTCTTTCCTCAGGAACGGAAGGAGAGGGGGTAGAATGTGGTGGAAATTAATTTTGCTGAAAGTCTTTAAGCTTTGGGGAAAATTGTTTGTGTTTCTGCTTCCCCTTCTCTCCCCCTCCCAACATTTCTGCCCCCCCCCCCCAGCAGCTGGTTTCTGTTCATTATAAATCCGAGAGACCTTTCAGTCTCTGCCCTCTGTTTAGGGACGTAATAAAACACTTAACTTTCCGGGGCTGAGATTTTGCTCAGGTCGTCCCTCCCCCCCACTGCCTTTAGGCCCAAAGGAGACTCTCCCCAACTTTGGGGCCCCTTTCCCCTCTAGACTTGGTTTAGGAGGGGCTCAAGGAAACTCAGGCATCCTTGCTGAAGAGCTGCAGTACGTGTTTCCCCAGAAGCCCTTTCTTTCTTCCAAGGACCTTCCTTCCCCCACCCACCCATAAAAGAGATTTAAAAATACATAGAAAATCAACACTCATTGAAAGCAAAACTTCATTAAGATGTCCTATCTTCCATCATTCAATTTGTTGTACATTGCAACAATTTAATATCTTGCAGGAAATATCACTGACATGATTTATCCCTCTAGCAATCTCTTTCTGAAATGGGGGGTGGAATTTACTCTTTCTTTGGCCTGTTCTACGTGTTACACCACTACCCTTAGGGCAGAAATGAGTCTGGGAACTCTGAGAGCGGCTACTCGTGTCCAGGGGTGCACTGACTTGTTCCTTAGCTCAGCCCCCTGGGTCTCCCCGCCCCTATTTCTCCCTCTCTCTCTCCCTTTTGCCCTCCAGGGGGCCTGGAGCCCCAGCCAGCTGTTGGAAACCTCTGTTCAGGCATGCCATGAATTGGAGGACAACTGGATTCTAGAGGGGATAGCAATTCACGCTAGTGTCTGTGTTTGTGAACCTGCCACGTCACCCCAAAATGAGACGATTCATCTAAAAATTTCTTCTTAATTTAAGAACCCTCCTCTACCCTTTCTCCTTCATCTCCGTGGGGAGAGGAAAGTATGGTCCAAGAGGAAGAACCTTTGTAATTAAGGGGTCTTTCCCCTACCCTTCTAAATAACAGCAAATTCCTTTCTCTGAAGGACTGAGCCTGTATTTTCAAAAGCCAACACAAATTATTTGACAGGAAGACTCTTCAACCCGGTAAGGAGCTTCATGTATTAACTAACATGTTGTCGCCACCAGCTCCTACACACTGTCTGCTTTTGGGTTCAAAAACTTTATCCCCCCCCCCACCCCACCCAGCGACACTCCAGGGAAACCTTAACGTTACAGAAGATGAATAAACGAGTTTTTTTCCCAGCATAGTCCCGTTTATGGCTTTATTGCTACCCATTGATTACTCCGCTTTGTTACACAGAAGGAAAAGATCATAAAATCTGGCGACATCCGGGTCCTTGTTATAGCCAGTCCTCCCCCCCCAAAAAAATGATGAGGGGAAAATATGAGCTTCCATTGCTCTCTTCACTTGCCCCACCACCCCTTCTTTGTCAATTCAAAGTCTTTTTAGCCTATGTCAGGATAGCAAATTAAGTTTGGATTAATCAGGAGTAAAACCCCATCTGCACACCTTCCGCTGCTTCAGTTCGCCCACTGCGGCTCCCTCAGAAACCTCGGACTCAGCTGCCTTCTCCTAACCTTCTCTTCCTTTTTCTCAGCCTCAAGGTGGAAAGAAAGGGGGGTGGGTAGGGGCTGCTGAGAGGCTGGGCCCCACCAGGTATGGCTGACCCTCGTGTGAGAGCTCCCCAGGAACACTTTGCTGGAATCTCCAAGCCCCAGAGCTCAGGTCCAAGGGTGCCTCCCTTAGCAGGGTAGAGAGCCCAGAGGGGGCAGGGGGCTTCTGACGTGTGCAAGGGCTTGAGCTTGCAAGATGCTAAATGTCCATCAGAGCCCCACCAGCCTTCTCTTTCTGGCTGGATCTTACGTGAATTACCCCACCGGCCCTCAATGGCTCCAAATCATAAATTCTCACCAACATAAACAGGAGTTGATGTGTCTAGAAAGACTCTGAGTTCTTTCTCCTTCTTTTTTCTCTCTCTCTCTCTCTTTCACCTTTTGCTTCTTTCCCTCCCTTTCCTATAGTATTTTTATACATTCTCCCTTTTAGGCAAAAATGCTGCCAGAGTTTCCCCCAAAAGGGGGTGCTGAGGAAGAGGCAGAGGGAGCTGGGGAAGAGGAAAGCAGTTGCCTGGCCCCTCTGCCCACCTCAGATCTGCCACTACCCTGAAGTCTCTCCCTTACCCCTTGAGACCTACTTGCTCCCCTCATGCCCCCTACATCCAAGACTCTCAGCCACACCCTCCTTCCTCTGAGCATCATGTTTATGAATTTCTTCTTACTCTTGATTTAAAAAATTATTGGGGGAAAAATGCTGGTTTGGTGATGAGGAATCACTTCGTGGAATATCAAACCAGGATTTCCTGTAGGATTTCTGGGGACCCCCCCTGAGCTGGGAGGGAGCCCCTCCCATGGAGAAATCAAGATGTAATTTTAGAAGAGAGCAGATATAAACGATGAAATCGGATTGAAAATACAGAGATTCCCCAGCCTGGCTCTGGCCACTGCACAGCAAAGTTAGCTGGGGCTGAGCGAGTGCAGCTCTCCTTCCCTGGGCCCCAAGGCCCTGCTCACGGACATTCACCCTTCCTTCACCTCCAAATCAGCTCCCTTACGTGTATATATATTTTAAAAATCCAAGTCTTACTTTCAAAGCACACACTTAGTCTCAACTAGGGAATCAACAGAAGCAGAAGCGATTTTTTTCCCCCTTCTTGACATCTGGCTTGCGATTGGCTGGAAGGGGGTCAGCTGACTTTGTCATTTTGTCTGTCCTGGATTGGAGCCGTCCCTATAACCATCTAGTTCCGAGTACAAACTGGAGACAGAAATAAATATTAAAGAAATCATAGCCCGACCAGGTAAAGGCAAAGGGATGAATTCCTACTTCACTAACCCTTCCTTATCCTGCCACCTCGCCGGGGGCCAGGACGTCCTCCCCAACGTCGCCCTCAATTCCACCGCCTATGATCCAGTGAGGCATTTCTCGACCTATGGAGCGGCTGTTGCCCAGAACCGGATCTACTCGACTCCCTTTTATTCGCCACAGGAGAATGTCGTGTTCAGTTCCAGCCGGGGGCCGTATGACTATGGATCTAATTCCTTTTACCAGGAGAAAGACATGCTCTCAAACTGCAGACAAAACACCTTAGGACATAACACACAGACCTCAATCGCTCAGGATTTTAGTTCTGAGCAGGGCAGGACTGCGCCCCAGGACCAGAAAGCCAGTATCCAGATTTACCCCTGGATGCAGCGAATGAATTCGCACAGTGGTGAGTTTTACAGCTCCGAGATATAAATTAAATAAACTGAACTGGCTTTATGACCGGCTTCCCTAGAAGAACGGGCGGAGAGAGTTTTTTATGGCCCCATAAAAACAATCACGCTCGTCTCCTCGCCGACGCCGAGACAGGGCCCCCTCTTCTGCCCCCTCTGCTCGCCTCCCGCTTGCTCGCAGGGGCCTGGCCCCCTCGGCCCCTGACTGATTAGAGGGCTCCAAGGCGAGCTGGGGGTGGGGGGGGGGCAGAAACAGGGCAGGGAGTGAGGGGAGGAGGCAGGGGTGGGGGAACCCCCAAAGTCGAGTCAGTCTGAGGAGCAGGGAGGGGGAAAGGAGGGGGCAGAAAGTGGGGGGAGAAGTTTGCAAGGAGCTAGGGTGCTTGGGGAGGTGGGGGAGTTCAGTCGTTGAGAAATAGGGCCCTCATCCCCAGGGTTGAGGATTTTTCAAAAACCAGCCTTTAGATTTACAGCTTTCTGCCTGGTTCTTGCCCCCCGCCCTGCCACCATTCTGTGGGACACACACCCACCACCCTACGGGGTGGGGGGACTGAAGTTGGGATCCTGGCTGGACCCCGAGTGGGGGTGGGGCAGGGCGAGTGGGAGCAGGCTGCAGGGGCCCTGAGCTGCTGGTCCAGTTGGGAGGGCCAGGACTGGACTGGGCTAAATTGTCTGCGGAGGGCGCCTCGCTGATTGTGTTTAGTGTGTTTTGTGCCTGGATCTCCAGGGGTTGGCTACGGAGCGGACCGGAGGCGCGGCCGCCAGATCTACTCGCGGTACCAGACCCTGGAACTGGAGAAGGAATTTCACTTCAACCGCTACCTAACGCGGCGCCGGCGCATCGAGATCGCCAACGCGCTCTGCCTGACCGAGCGACAGATCAAAATCTGGTTCCAGAACCGCCGGATGAAGTGGAAAAAGGAATCTAATCTCACGTCCACGCTCTCAGGGGGCGGCGGAGGGGCCGCGGCCGACAGCCTGGGCGGAAAAGAGGAGAAGCGGGAAGAGACAGAGGAGGAGAAGCAGAAAGAGTGACCGGGACTGTCCCTCCCCCCTCCTCCTCCTTCGCCCCCCAGCGCCCCCTGACCACACGCTCTGTATTTATCGCTGGCACAACTGGTGTGTCTTGGCACCCTAAGGAGCATTAGGGAGTCAGATATGGACCTGAAAGTAAACTCTGGACCCCCGCCCTCACCGCACAAACTCTCTCACTGCGCGCCGCCGCCTCTTCCTCCTCCTCCTTCTCCTCCTCGCTCCCTCGCTAGCTCGCTCCCGGCTTGTCTGCAGGCCCCTTCCCCCGCCCAGGCCTTGGGGGCTCTGTCCCTGAACCTCGCTTCAGACGCCCCTGTTCTCCCTCGAATGAGGACTTGGCCTCCCACCCCCTCGGCGCCCCTCCCGCCCCTGCGCAGAGAGCCGGCTCCCGGGCCCGGGGCCTCCACTCCGGGGCCTTAGGGCCCGGCCTGGCGGCGGGGAGGGCGGGAGGCCCAAGGAGGGCGCGTCTTGGCCCCACAGACACCCCAGGGCCTCCCCGCAGCCCCTGCCCGGCCCCTCTGCCCCAGCAAATGCCCAGCCCAGGCGAATTGTATTTAAAGAATCCTGGGGGTCATTATGGCATATTACAAACTGTGACCGTTTCTGTGTGAATATTTTTAGCTGTATTTGTGGTCTCTGTATTTATATTTATGTTTAGCACCGTCCGTGTTCCTATCCCATCTTAAAAAGGAAAAAAAAAGAGAGGGAAAATTACAAAAAGAGAAAAAAAGTGAATGACGTTTGTTTAGCCAGTAGGAGAAAAAAACAATAAATTTTAAAAAATCCCCTCGTGTTACCCTCCTGTATAAATCCAACCTCTGGATCCGTCCCCGAATATTTAATAAAACTGATATTATTTTTAAAAGTTTACATCGGGGTTTCTGTGACTTCGCTCGCCCGCCTTGCCTTGGGGTGAAAGTTGGGGCCGCTCCCGGAGCCCCGCGCCCGCTGCAGCCTGCGAGCCCCCAGCCTCTGCACTCGCCTCCCCGAGCGGGCGCCAGCCTGGCCGCCCCTCCGCCGGGCTGGGAGGCCTCTCCTGGGCTCCCTACGCGAAGCAACACACTCACCCCGCAAAAAAAGCTGCTTGGGATTTTGATGGGGGTCGGGGAGACGCCGGGGCTGGTCGGCTTGGTCTCCAGCCCCACACAGGCCTTCTTCCTGCCTGTGATAGTCTGGGGTCGGTCTTCTGAACCACAAGCCTCCCCCCACCCCCCAAATCCAGAAAAGCAGCATGATCCAGGGCACCAGGGCTCCCCCGCCCACTCTCGGGGTGAGGAGGGGGCGCCCTGCGAGCAGCCCCCTGCCCGCGCCAGGCCGATGGTTGCGAAACGTGGCGGAGGCGGAGAGAGGAGGGGAAAAGAAGACAGCGGGATTTGAGCCCTTCGCCGGGACTGAGCGATTCAAGGACATCTCGAGCAAGAACGCCTGGAAACTGAGCTCTCGCCTGCTCTGGGACTCCTGACGTGGCTGGGACAAAATTCCCTCTTCCTCACAGCCCCAGCCCAGTCTGGTTCCTCACTCTTTCTTCCCCCCTCAAACTCCGCGGGCGAGGAGCGCAGCTAGGCCTTAGCCTTTCCCCAGCTCAGGCCTTCTCTCCCTAAGCCCAGCCAGAGAAACCTGAGTGGACCTAGAGGGTGAGGTAGTGAGGGGGTCTCCCAGAGAGAAAAAATCTGTCAGAGTTTTCCAGACCTTCCAGATCCCCGCCAGCGCCCCCTCCAGCGCCTCCGCCTGCAAGCGGGGCGGGGGCGGGGCGGGGGGGGGGGGGGGAGGGGGGGGACGGGACGGGAGGGACGCTTCTCCTGGCAGGGGCGGGGATTTCCTAGGGAGAGGCAGGCAGGAAAGAATAAGACTTGGAGCTTGGGGAGAGGGGTCGGAAAGGGGCCGAATGGCTGCATAGCCCCTGACCATGGGCTGTGAAGGTTGCCCAGGCGCCTGCTCTGCCCACCCCCTTCTCCTACCCCCAGTCAGGTTCTTCCCGCACTTCCATGTAGCTCAGAAACCCCTCTCCTGTGGACCTTGTGGATTTCAATCCCTGGAGAGCCTGGTCCAGAGACCTTTCCTCCATAGGGCACAAAACAGGTCTTGTCCTCTGCCCTGCCCATATATTTGTGGAGGCTTGAATCTTGCTTTTCCATGCCCACAATTAAAATCTATTTTCTATCCGAAATATCTGACATAGGTATCACATGAGGGTCATACACAGGGATGTAGAGCCGTCTTCCAGGCCATTGTGTCTGGTTCTACACACACACACACACACACACACACACACACACACACACACACGTTGAAAATGACCTTGTTGCTACATGATGAGGAGGTCTACTCGGCTACCATGGCTCCTCACCTCCAGGCTCCTCACCTCCAGGCTCACCCCAGAGTCCCCAGTACTCTCAGCCTCATGACCCCACCCCACCCCCATCTAGTTCTGCCCACCCAGGATCACTTCTCCTGGGCATCCTGTCTACCTCTCCAGAGGCTTGGTTCACTTTTCCATGCTGACAGGCAACTTCTCAGCAATGGCAGTGCTTTGGGACATCCAAGGAGAGGGACCTCCAACCTGAGATAAGCCCCCTCTAAGTCCCACCTGGGCAGGCCCCCTCCCCCACGTAAGTCCCCTTCCCTCAGCCATTTTTGAAGATTGGAAGGCCCTGGGGGTGAAGAGGACAGGTCTATCAGTTACCAAAAAAACCCTCAGTGCATCCTAAACGAGGCCTCCTCTTCCCTTAAAATTAAATACAATTTCAAAGGCCATTTCAGGGGTTTGTTGCAGCAACAACCAGCTTCTCCTCTACAGGGTAGAAAATCCATCGGTCTGAAAGGGGAGCCGGCGCACCAGGCTGCAATTTCTCCAAGTAAGCACCAGGTGTCGCTGTGGGCTCGTTGTCCCGGCTACCCCCAATTCCAAAGAACCATTTTTTTTTCCTCCCCCTTCTCTCTGTTTCTCTCATTCCCTCTCCCCTTTGGTTAGGCTTTGCCAACATATCAAGAGCGTTTCGCCGGCTTCCATCACTAACCTCCCGGAGGTCATCAAACCAAATTTATGAGTGGTCGCTGGAGTCACGTGACTCTATTTAAGGCTCCCTTATTTGGGAAGAGCGCATAGGATAAAGAAAGAGATATCTCCACCTATAAATTGTGCACTTTGGAGAACAAAAAACCCCTCAACTTCAAAGAGTCACAAATCACCCTTAATCAAAAAGGGTGCAGAAATTTTTTTGGGCCCTCCCCGCCATGAGCTCCTACGTAGCCAATTCATTCTATAAGCAGAGCCCCAATATCCCTGCCTATAACATGCAAACTTGTGGGAACTATGGATCGGCCTCAGAGGTGCAGGCATCCAGGTACTGCTACGGCGGATTGGACTTAAGCATCACTTTCCCACCGCCTGCGCCTTCCAACTCTCTCCACGGGGTAGACATGGCTGCCAACCCCCGGGCTCACCCCGACCGCCCCGCCTGCAGCGCCGCGGCCGCTCCAGGACACGCTCTGGGCAGAGACGAAGCGGCTCCTCTGAACCCCGGGATGTACAGTCAGAAGGCGGCTCGCCCAGCGCCGGAGGAGCGAGCTAAGAGCAGTGGGGAGATCAAAGAGGAGCAGGCGCAGACAGGGCAGCCTGCCGGACTGAGCCAGCCACCGGCCCCGCCACAGATTTACCCGTGGATGACCAAACTGCACATGAGCCACGGTAAACTTTAGGACTTCATTTTGCGCGCTCGGGTCCGCCTGGGTTTTATAGGCCATGCGGGGCAAATAAAGAAAAAAAACCTGCGGCCATAAATTTTACGATCCAGGCATCAATGGCTCGTAAAACTGTCCACTAAAAGGCTTAGAGGCTGTGTGCGCCCAAATTTACGACGACATAATTGGATCATAGGAACAAAACGTGTATAAAAGGCAATATTCAATTTTTGGGGGAGAGGGAGGGAGTTAAAAAAATAGAGGGATCTAAAGGGCGAGGAGCGCGGGGCTCCACGCGGGATGCCCCGTGGGTCCTCCATCCTCGTGGATTCGGCTTGGCTGCGC